AAATTTTACCTCCAGGTTTGTTAGCATCTACTGTTACCAGTTTCATGGCTAAGTGATAAGGGTTAAAATACACAAATGAGTGTAAGTTACGTAGGTTTTGAAAAATAACCTAGTATATAGAGCGGTTTTCACTTGACTGTCGTAAAACCAAAACCAAAGTAAATACACTAGCCAACCAAAGGGCGTAGTAAAACCAAAACCAAACCAATTCCTCAATTACTTTCGACAGTCAAGTGAAAACCGCTCTATTGTACTTAGTATAGACTAATGTATGAGGGGAAGGTGGTTAGTATAAATTATGTACTTTTGAAAAACAGCGTGTGACAGAAAACCCAGGACAATAATAATTGCTGCTTTCCGTGCCTTTGAGGTACCTTGCTGGAGTTTGAAAATTTCGATACGAACCCTTTTCTTGGTAGTCTGCTCGGTAGAGAGGAGCGTAGCGTCACGACACAAAGAACGGCCATGAAGGAGACTATTTTTTTGGAAAAGAGTTTTAGTTTAAAGTCATAAAACGCAAAGACAAACCTAACGTTAAGAGGGAAAACAGATTGAGTCGCTGAACATTAGCTGTGACGTCAGACGCCACGCTCTATGGAGGTGACAGCCTTGATCTCGGGGTCCTCTCTTCTTCTCGCTCAAAAAAAAAGGGGGGAAGAGAGAGGAGCTGGGAACGAGGTTAGGCAGCTGGGCCTTTTACGATTTGAATTTTCTGCGTTCTGCTTTGATCAACCCGGCAAGACTTTCTCGTTATTTTTAGATCGTTTGGCCTTAATTGCATCTCCTCGATAGGAGATTAGGTCGTCACGCAACCGTTCTAATTTTAGAAAGAAGTGTTGTGTGACGTCCCAAACAAAAGCATGCATTAAGAGATAAGAGTACCCCCTCCCTCCAACCGATTGCTACACAGCCATTAACCGGACTCACCTTCTTTCTCTCCTGTCATGGTAAAACTTGCCGTCTTGTGGTCCCTCTTCTTACAGGAAAGGTAGATATCAAAGGCAATCACGAATGCCACGCCCACGCAGTAGACAATCATGGCGTACAGAGGGGAATTATCCAAACCTAACTCATCCTTATAAATGCAAATACCAAGAAACACGGTGACCACTGAAAGAGGTAAAAACAACAACAACAACAACATGTTACAGCGATATGCTGAAATGACGTCTGAGGAACGCACGCAAAAATTCCATAACGACAACGTGTCGCACAAACAAATTGAGAGTTTGATTAAAAATCAAAGCATTTTCCATTTTATTAATTCTCATAACCTTTCTCTTGATTGTGTATCGATATTGTCAGGAGAAAATTTATGTTGGTCACTATTGGACCTTAGATTGATAAAGAGTGATAAAACTTGTCCTAGGGGTGATAGGGTTAAAGATCTATGGGAGGATATCGTACCAGCCAAAATAAGGGCGAAGATTCCACCAGCACGGTGCGCCCAGTTAAAAAGGTATCGACTGCAAGGAAGAAAGAGAATAATCAGTGAGCATTAACAAATCAATAGCTCTTACAACGTCTCTGAATTCCACGAACGTAATGAAGAATACATACTTGTCATCTCCAGGGTGGGGTCGGAATGCCGCCGCGATTGGCTGAATGACAGAAAGGACCAGTACAATAATTCCAGTGATAGGGTGAGCACCAGGCATCTGACGGTAAAAAAAAAAAAAACATTTTTCAAAACCATTTTTTTTGTTAATCGAGAGGCAAGAAGTTTTGTCACAGTTCCCATGAAGTTCAGTTCAGCGCCTCAGACCCAACTTTTCTTTTTGACACATCGAAGGTAGAACATGGGCCTTCTTCGTCTAAACGTCTGGACGTTGTTTTCGTTTTCCAGTTGACCAACAGGAAGCAGCAAATTGGGAGATTAATGAATACGAAAATTGAACAGTTTTCTTTTATGTTCTTTATGTAAACTGCTTCAAGAATACTGTTTGCAAAATGCATGTACTGTCCTCAAGGCCACTGATATTGAAACTTAGAACTGGAAATTCTATTTGCTCTGATTAACTAAGATAGGGTTGTTTTTTTTCGGCGAAAGAACTGTATCCATAAATAACCTGAAAGACTTACACGCTGTGCATCCACGCCTGATTGAACGAAGGGATGGAGGCTCTCTTGTGTGACTGTTTCCGTATTTTTTAATTTAGCACGTTTCCATAATGGGGAAAAATTTCCAGGATCATAAGGTTTAGTATTCTAATTCTTACCCAGTGTCCGGCGTAAACAAAAATGAGGATAATCCCAACAATAGTCACCAAGACTGTGGAGATCATCAATATTCGGTGAAACTAGCAAAGAGTAAAATAAATAGACATTTTAACAACGGCAGATTAGAGTGGAACCTCGATATAAAGACGGGCCATGGGTTTAGCAATATTTGTTCGCTATAACGAGGTTTCGTTATATATACTTTTCTTTTCATACATTTTGCTGTTACTTGTGTAAAGAAAATAATTTGTTATACCGAGAACTTCGTTATATAGAGGTTCCACTGTATACAGACGCCCCTTAGGCTCGACACGAAAACACCAACGACGAGAAAAGAAAAAACTGTGACGTTGTTTCCGAGGTTTAGACCGTGCATTAGCAAACAAAAAAAGTTACAACAATCAAGATGGCCACAGGGAAATGGCCACTGCAATAGAACAGGCACCATGCCAATAGAGCAATCGCGATTGCAACATGTATATATCTAACAACCGCACTAAACCGTCTTATCGCTTTAGAGCAATTTTGATCGAGGTGGAGCAATCGGTGGTCGCAAAACTTGCGATATAAGCAATTAACCGCGCACGCGCTTGCCACTTCACCCTTTTTTGAAAGCCCCAAAATATCCACTTACAATTTCTCCTGACTGATTTCAACAAAGAAATCAAAGAACAAAGTTGTTTTCGTTTGGTGATCATTTCACTAATTTTCGTTACTTCTGTTGATTGTGTATTGGTAGTGTAAGGAGAAACTTTTTGTTGGCTGTTATAAAAAACAAGAAAGATACAATGATCTTCATCATATCTCACCGTAAACCAGACTTTAGTGCCCAACAGTTCTTTGTCACCAAATGCTACCCTCGTAAAGCGAGCCATAAAGATTCCAATGGAGGCAAACCCTATCCAAGCGATTACCATTAAACATCCTGAAAAGACAAGCAATACAAAGTTATAGTGGAGCTCTCTCGCGCGCGAAGCGGGCGCAGCGCAGCGCTATGGGTAAGAAAATTTGGTTATCTATGCATCCAAGAAATTTTGGTTCTAACCATAGCTGACATAAGATAAATAAGTATGGCTCTCATTAGCGAGTCCGCCTCCGAGAAATTAATGATATTTTCTTATATGGTGCTTGTAAAGAGCTTAAGATCCCAGAGAAGAGTTACTAGGATTAACTAGATTTTTCAATCTTTAAATTCACTCACAGTACACGGGCAAATTTAGGTTTTCAGCAACCCAACACCACACAACTGAGATGTACAGATGCACCTGAGAAGGGGTATAGTAATGCGCATTGCTAAGTTAGAAANGTTGTGGGGGGGGGGATATAAGAGAGGGGGTGGGGGGGGGGGGGGGGGGGGGGGGATTTTCGAGCCGCAGGAATTGTTTTTCGTTATCAAATTCCTTGTATGAATTTTTTTAGGCCATAGCATGAAAATTTTTGTAGGGTTAATTGGCGTGCATGAATTTTTTTTCATTTCATTTTCCCTTGCGCGAATATTTGTTTTTTACTTCGCCCCCCCCCTCCCCCATAAGTTTTCTAATGGTCCGTCCCTTAGATTCTGAGACGAGGACGACTACGAGAACGAAATTTTCTTAGCACTAAGTAGGCTTTTGTACATTATGCTTTTTTTCCGGACTAAAATGCTCCACCTCAATGCCCCATTTTCCCCAGTAGAATGCTCGGTCAGCCCCCAAAAAGTCACTAAAATGCTCCGATAATGCTTGTCATATAGAGGTTTTTTTATTAATCGTAATGTTTTAACAGGGTACTATCCCTACTACATACACAAATTATCTAGCTATCCCTACTACTACATAGTATGAGAACAAGTTAATCAAGATTATAACATTTTAAACAACAGAAATTAACTTTTCCCCAGTCTCCGCACTTTAAATTTCAAGTTTTTTCTAGTTTGTCTTCCTTTTTTTCTGGGAACAATTAACCCTTATTTTTACTTTCTCTAAAAAAAGTCCGGGAAAAATGCCACTAAAATGCTCGAATAATGCTTAATGCTTTTGCTTCACTAAAATGCTCAAAAAAAAGCAAGCACAATGTACAAATGCCTAATACTGAGTAGTGTTCGCGCGTGAATCAACGTCATTTTGACGGGAAAATGTGCTAGACGTCGTCATTCTACTACGAATTTTAGCGAGAAGTTAAATCATTTTGAAGTTAACTCATTTTGCGACCGGGAAAGGGCTAAACCTTCTCCAATAAAAATAACCGCACTAATTTTTCAGGTGAAAAATAGTGGGATGAAGCTCTCCAGGTTGAATATTTTTCGACAATACGCAAAGAAACTTGATTTTCGTAACCTCTTTTTAGGAGAAAATTGATGTTGGTCAATGTTGGGACTTTAAGGGTTAAGAGAGGATGGACAGCAAGTTCCCGTTTGCTAGTTGCGCTACCTACAGATTACTTAGTTATCTGCTAGCAGTTATCTAACAGATCTGTAGGTTACGTTGATTTCCAAAATTAACTGTGGGCTCTTAGGCAATGAGAAGGTAGATAGTGAGTACAATGTATAACAATGTGTCATGAAACCTTTTTTTGTTAAATTGCGCCATTACAACTACGTTATCTCTTTCAAGAGTTTTGATTCGTCAGATATCAAGAAAGACGTCTTTTATTCCTTCGTTTCAATATTAATTTATCAACACTGACGCTTTACATGTACCCCAACATAAAAGTTGCCTAAATTGTATGTATTTATTTGTAGTGCTCTGAGAGCACTGCTCTTTTTGTTTTAGTCTTCTTTACATAGTAACATTCATCGGGAATTATGAAATATTATTGTGTGACGTACTTGTGGGTCCGCTGGCATACACCAGGTACAATGGCTCCGTCAGGTCAATCATGACAGGATCCTTCATGTTTCTTTTAAATCTACAATAAACAATAAAGAGAAAAAAATTTACAAATAAAGATTTTAAACTTGTTTTCACAAGAAACAGACAAACAGACACACACCCCCCACCCCCTCAAAAAAAAAAAACGCTGAATGGTATATCGCGATTGCAAGAAAATTGTACCGGAGATTCAGCATTTTAAGAAGTCATAACTGTCGAAACTCTGAAACATAAATAAAAGTAAAGTAATTAACTCACTGACAGCTTATTATTCCACCCTCTGATTTTTGTGATATTTGAACTAAAGAGGAAGGTTTCTGGAAAAGAATTAAACAAGCAAACAGAAAACAATATTAGTAAGCTAAAATAGTACCATAAAAATCCTCCAGCTGCAAACTATTTGTGGACTTTAAAACGATGGCTTAAAGTGCCTCAGTATGATAAACTCACAGGATTGGACTTGCTGGGCGTTCCATAACCATTATCAGCCAAGTAGTGTTCCACAGAAACTTGCCCATTGATGTTCTCACAGATCAATGCATCTGTTCCAGCCTGAAATGTAATTTGTGTTAATCAGAATTGACCTGAGTAGGCCAATTGCAAGTTGCCGCATGCCTCTGTTTCAAAGCGAGGCTAAGTGCGATATGAAAATGATTTTTCATTCTCATGCAAATAAACTTATTTTTACAAGAAAGGTTTTCAGCCTCGTTTGGAAAGTGAGAGTGTTTGGAACTCGGAAACGGGTTAGAGCGATTTTCGTATGACCTTGAAATGAAAACGCGCGATATTCACCTTCCGAACAAATGGGCTCAGGGCTCTAGCTCTGGTGACCCACTGCCTGCAAGGGGCGAAGAGCAGAAAGTGTTGCTTCTCGCGCGTGGTAGGCGCGCAAGTCTCGCACGGTTCTTTGCAACCTTCCCCTTTGGTAAACCTTTGCTTTACCACCACACGCAGTAGTATGAGTAACGCCAAAATAATATCTCTAAACGAAGGATCGTTCTTACCATCTTTTTTTCTGTGTTAAAACCAATAGAGGCCCACTGCTTCTTGGAACTAATTTCAAATTCCACCTCGGTGACTTCACCTTGACCATCTCCTCCCTTCACGGGTTTGATGGTTACAAGGTAGCTACAGTCGCCGCTGCCCTCACAGTCTTCAGGCTCAGAATAGCAGCTTTTAGTTACACCGCATCCGTCCCTGGTGATCTGTGAAAAAAGTACGCGAAAATGAACGCTTCAAGGTTCGTGTCAAAAAGATGTTACGTAGATGCAAGGCTGCCCTAAAGTCAAAGTTTACATCAAAGGTTAAATATCATGAATCCCAGCGTCGACGCCATATGTGGGTTGAGTTTGATGTTGGTTCTCTCCTTTGCTCCGAGAGGTTTTTCTCCGGGTACTCCGGTTTTCCCCTCTTCTCAAAAACCAAATTCCAATTCGACCAGAAATCAGGTAGACGAAGAACCACTATGTGGATGTGCTACCTCCAAATCGTTATTTATTTATTTATCATTTGCAAAATAGTAAAGAACCTAACAAAGCCAAGTGCAAGATCTGCTAAAGCGGTTGCATTAGTTAAAAATTGGCACATCATAGGATTTGTCCCATGAGAAGCCGGCTAGAGAGAACGGAAGGGACAAATGCACGGATGAGGGCGAAGGGAGAAATTTCGAGGACGCACGCACTCTATAAAAACTAACCAAAAAATAGTTGGCGCCTACTTCGCAGGGTACTAGATAGGTGGTTGGAAGGACGGATGGATGGATAGATGAATGGATAAGCGAGTAAATGGGTGGATGGATGGATAGGGAGATCAGGTAGATAAATGGATTCCCAAAACATTGGAATAAACTATTTGTTAGACGACTATGAATAGTCTCTCATTTTTTTTTATGAGAGATGGAGAGAGAGCGAAACAAACGTGTCTCCTTGCTCGCGAGAGGCGAACTCCTATAAGACTGGTGGCTTCTTGAGGTCTGCTCGCCTAACAACTTGCTGTATCCTTTAAAAGTGGTTCTAACACAAAGGCTAATAAATGATGATGTCACACGCGCTGTTGCATTCTTTCGCTTTACTTTCCTGTGGAAAATCATGAGAGACTACTCCACTTCTAGCGATTGTGGATGGACTAAACGACGACTTAATGAGAAGTTTCACTTGAAGTTCAATAGAATATTCATATCTCACCGTATCCTTGACTTGCGTCTTTCCATCAACTAAAGTTGCAGGGACCGAAAGATCGATCTTCTCCCCCCAGACCTTTCGATTTTTTTGATGATACTGCCCACTTCCAGAGCGCGCTAAAAAAAACACCACAAAACAAAACAAATTACTTCCTGTAACGTGTTGCAGAACCCAAACCTGAAGCGTAGGCGCGAATCTACATTAAATACTGGCTGGTTTCCTAAACGAGCACCGAAAACGCGCGAGCTTTTAGGGCGGGGGTCCGGGAGCATGCTCCCCAGGGAAAAGTTTTGGATTTCAAGTCCTTAAAGTCCCCTTTCCGGGGTTTCTGAGCCATTCAGACAGGACATTTACTGACTGTCTAAACCACTTTCTAGATTTCAACTTGGAAAGTTTTTATTATCATTATTGAAAATATATTAATTATGAAAAATCTGACCGATTTCCGTAAAACGGTGGAAACCTGTGTGGATCCGCGCTTGAAAGGAGAGTCATATCCACAGAGTCATAACTTACACAGTCAAACCCCGCGTTACGGACATCCGCTTACTAAACACGGACATTTCATTATTACGGACAGTTTGCTTTATCCCTGGGGAAAGAAAGCCCTTACATTTTCTCTAAATTCAACCTGCTTAATATGGACACCTCATTACTACGGACAGTTTGCTTTATCCCTGGGGAAAGAAAGCCCTTACATTTTCTCTAAATTCAACCCGCTTAATACGGACACCTCGTTATTACGGACAGTTTGCTTTATCCCTGGGGAAAGAAAGCCATTACTTTTTCTCTAAATTCAACCCGCTAAATACGGACACCTCGTTATTACGGACAGTTTGCTTTATCCCTGGGGAAAGAAAACCCTTACATTTTCTTCAAATTCAACCTGCTTAATACGGACACCTCATTATTACGGACAGTTTGCTTTATCCCTGGGGAAAGAAAGCCCTTACATTTTCTCTAAATTCAACCCGCTTAATACGGACACCTCGTTATTACGGACAGTTTGCTTTATCCCTGGGGAAAGAAAGCCCTTACTTTTTCTCTAAATTCAACCCGCTAAATACGGACACCTCGTTATTACGGACAGTTTGCTTTATCCCTGGGGAAAGAAAACCCTTACATTTTCTTCAAATTCAACCTGCTTAATACGGACACCTCATTATTACGGACAGTTTGCTTTATCCGTGGGGAAAGAAAGCCCTTACATTTTCTCTAAATTCAACCTGCTTAATATGGACACCTCGTTATTACGGACAGTTTGCTTTATCCCTGGGGAAAGAAAGCCCTTACATTTTCTCTTAATTTAACCTGCTTAATACGGACACTTTCTATTTCCGCCTCAGTATTAACAGGGTTTGACGTATACACGTATTTGAGGCACTTATAACGCCTTGCCCCGCTATTTCATGGTGGTGGTGTGCAAAATTATTGACTAATTTATGCATAAATTACGCACGCTAGCCACAAAAATCGGCAATAGAACTGGACAGCTCTACTTTAGATGGAACATTTTTCCTACAAAGCCAACACGACATCTGCATGTTAGCAACACTTACTTGTGGTTCCATAGGCAAAAAGGACGTACCACATCTTGGTTAGATCTTTAAAGTAAGCTGCATTTGACGTGAGTTTTCGAGTGACCCTGGTATGGAGAAAATTAATTAAATGCCTCACTGTTACCGATACTTCAACAGCCGAGACCTTTAGCGCTCACGCATTTTCTGTACTAAACAAACTAGTTTAAAAAAACCGCATGGCAGTGTTAACCAGTAAGAATCTAAAACAACTACAAATCTATCCAACTGTCATACTCAACACATCAGCCGTGTACCTTCAATCAGCAGCAGCAGCACAACGGCCCTACAATGTCAGATACCTCTTAAATAACCTTGCAAGCCATACCGTACCTCACATAGCATTCATAACGTAAAAGCACTAGCAACTGAAAACAAACTACCGTTAACAACCCATTGAAACCATAGTTAGTGAAGTTGATCCCTCAACTGGTTGTTAAAACTAACAAAATATCTTAATTAAACAATTTACACTGAAATGTAAGAGATGCAACTTACCTGCACTTTATTCCACCATCCTCGTTAACAATCGTATTTAAAGTAATGTCGCTGTTTCCAACCTGAAACAATTTGTCTTAAGGTTAGCTCAACCTTAAGATCATTACCATAAAAAAATCCACTTCACTGCGTCACAATTCCCCACTTTTCTTTAAGTAGGGACATTAAGATCCGACGACGGCGACGGCAACGGGAACGCCACAAAAGCAACAAGTTTAATTAGCAAAACAACAATTTTGCACGTGCATCACGCTTTTTTGTAGATTTCCTTGCCGTCACTGCACGACTACGAAGTGAAAATGCCTAATTTTACGTTGTACAGAGGAAGTACACCAGCGACGACAAAATGTCCTCTCTTTTTCTGCACTTGGATGTGGTTCTTAGGAATTCAACTTAAGGATGGTTCGCCTACATTTGAAAAAGTCAGTGACTTGGAGTAATCGCGATGAAGATTGAAAGAACATGAATTCACTTTATCAGCGACGTTTTCTCAGCCGTCGCCGTCCTCGGATCTTAAGGTCCCTAGTAGTAAGTTGTAGGATTGTTGCAACAGACTTCAAAGGACAAACTGCTAGTGACTGAGAAGGGGATGCAATGAGTTTGAATAAGAAAGAGAAGTTATACTCAAAGCAATAATATGGACACAAGAAGAACCAGACGCGCGAGGAAGACACGCGCGCCTCGTTCTTTTAGCTCCCTACTATTATTTTCATGTGCCTGCTAAGCAGCCTTAACCCTGCCAGGGACGAAGCGTCAACACTGATGGGGCGAGTTATAGATAATCTTTTTCCTCACCAGGTTTTGCCTGTCCAAGTTGTGGTCACGTGAATAATAGTGACGTAATTCCACTAGGTTGTTCCCCATTGTAGCGCACATAATGGCATCCATTTTGTCCTTAATCAAGTAAAAAACAATATTTAGATTTATTTTTTTAACTAATCTGTATTTTACACCAAAACCCTCTGACACAGGAAAGTAACAAATATTCTCCAAGCAGAAAAATACTGAAGAATACTAGAACGAGAACAAACGTTCATTAAACTAGAAGGGAACTTTTCATATTAATTCAAACATTAGATTTTATAATTGAGACTAACCCATACATTTGTTTTGGGAAGTTAATAAATATACGAGAAACAGGAATAGAATTTTAGATGAGCATAGTCAGTCTGTCAGTCGGTCAACTAATCAGCCAGTCAGTCGGGCATTCAGTCAGTCAGTCAGTCAGTCAGTCAACCAGTCCCAGTAATCAATTAGCCACTCAATCAGTCAGCCAGTCAGACCGTCAGTCAATCAGTCAGTCAGCCAGTCAAACAGTCATAAGCAGTCAGTCAATGAGCCAGCTACTCATTCAGTCAGTCATACAGTAAGTCAGTCAGTTAGTCTAACAGATAGTCGTTCCATCACCCAGTCAGTCAAAATTAGTCATATCAATTCTAGACGTTAACTGGTTACGGAAATGCCATCATACCTACCATCACTGGCTGCTCATTAAATGCAACTGAAACATAGCGTTGTTTAGCACTCATCTCCATAACAACCTTTCCTCCAGAAACTTGATATGTAAATAAATAGTTACAATCGGCACTTCCGGTGCAGTCTGATGGAAGAGAGAAGCATCCCTTGGTCTTACCACATCCGGTTTTGTCAATCTACCAATAATTAAGTGACAATGAAAAATTAGTATTCCTCCATCTTTGCGGGTGTTTTGACGTGAGAAGGGTGTACTTCATGCCCCAGTAAATGATGTAACGCCTTCCCGCGATGCCCTGCGCGGCCTGTTTTCCGCGTTACTTGCCATTTTGACCTTACACTTGAGACAAGGTGGGTGGTATCTCGAACTGTACTGTGGGACCGTTTTGGGAGGCACATTTTGACCCAGTTTCTAAGCCAATAGCCGGTAAAATGAGCGACAGCACTCCCAAAACCACCTCATACTGCAGTTCGACACAATGAGGGGTTACAGGAAACGGAAGCCCTAGCCTCCGTGGCAGGCGCTGGTTTTGTTTGGTAAGTTGTTTATAGAGCGCGAGAGGAACATGTGAAGGGAGGCTAGCTTTTTCTCCAATCTTGCACACACACGTCATCGATATTTCACCTTTAACCAAAAAAACCCGGCGCCTGCTTAACACAGGCGTGTTAACGTTCCTACAGTTAACAAATAAATTAAATATAAATCAAAATGAAATTCTTTAATGATGGATCATCGGAACAAGGTTTTATTAATCTAGCGCTGCACGCTCTTCTTGTACATTTAGACTTACCTGAAAGCTTTGCGATACTTCCCCTCGTGTTACATTTTCAGCTGGAGGCCCTTTAACCACAGATGATTCAATTTTTCCCCAGAAAGTGGTGAAATTTTCAACGACTGTCGCGCTGTAATTAAAACGAAATGACTAAGATGAGCAATACTGCCATTAAAGTGCTTCAAAGCAGGTTTGAAAAACCGCGCTGCAATCATAAGCAAACAGCGCCACAAATGCGTCTTTGTTTGCTGTAGTGGGCGTTACTTTATTTGTTATAATTTCTTAAAGTTTCAAATTTTGGTAGCCTGAAATTCATCCGATTGCTTCGAGTCGTTTTCTCCTCTCAACAACTGAGGAAGTAATAACGACTCGAAGTAATCAGATGAAATTCAGGCTAAGATTTTGGTGGTTCTTTCGGCCATTACCGAGCACTGCGAAGAATGGGTCCGAGCTTTGTCTTGATGTCATCGAAACGCGACCAACACGAACCTCTCTGGATTCAGAGCTGGAATCATGCCAGATGCCTGCGTCGCCTACGGCTGTGGCATTACAGCCGAACCCGAAAAAGGTATCGGACTGAAAAAAATTCCATTCTAGAATGATACGCGCGCTGAATGTATCAAGAGAAGAAAGATTTGACTCCCGTAAAACACTTTCCCCTTTCCTTTTCACACATAGAGAGGACAAGTCGTTACGTCACGTTGCCATGGTAGCAAAATTTCCGGAAGACCACAAACCGAAAACGTCACTTAAAAAGTGAATTCGCACTGTTTCAAACTTCAACGATCTCATTCAATTTCATTTAACTTGTCAAATGCTGGCGAAATTTTCTGGGGTTGAATCCGAAAGGACCGTATCTATGTTAAGAAAAAGAAAATTTTGTGTTGGGCTCACCTACTCCATAAAGCAGGCGCGTATAATTAGGAAGTTTTATGTCGCAGTCGTGCAGCGAAGGCTAAGAAGTGTACAAATCAAAACAGCGTGATGCACGTGCAAAGTTGTTGTTTTGCTATTATATATAATGCTATTACTTTTTTCCGTTCACGTTGCCGTCGCAGTCGTCGTTACTTAAATTCGCTATTGACTATTTTCCAATTGCCCATAATACACTCTGTTTGCCCCCCAAATTTTGCATAACTTATTGTCTTAAAATGCTCTTGGGAAAATGCAATACCCCCAGGAGCATTTAAAAACAATGGTTTATGCAGAATTTGGGGGGCAAATTCTCTCCATTATACGATTCTGTTTGACCAAACACAATAGGGACCATAAGATCTGAGGACGGCGACGGCAGCGAAAACGTCGCTGAAAAAGTGAATTCGCGTTCTTTCAACCTTTATAGCGATTACTCCAAGTCACTAACTTTTCCAAATGTAAGTGAACCCTCCTAAAGTTGAATCCCTAAGAACCATGTCCAAAATCAGCCAAGAGAAGAAATTTCGTCTTCGCTTGTGTACTTCCTTTGTGAAACGTGAAATTAGGCATTTTCACGTCGTAGTCGTGCAGTGATGGCAAAGAAATTAATGTAGAAAAAAGCGTGAAAAATTGTTGTTTTGGATATTAAACCTATTGCTCTTTTTGACCTCCTCGTTGCCGTCCCCGTCGTCGGATCTTAAGGTCCCTAATAGGGAGCTACGATGGCGACGGCAGCGTAAACGTCACTTTGAAAAGGCATTCGCGTTTTTTCAAACATTGTCGCGTTTATTCCAATCCGCTGAAAATGTCAAATGTAGGCAAGTTTCCCTAGAGTTGATTTCTTGGGGACCGCAATCAAATTTGGAAGGAGAAAGAAAAATTCTTCGTCACTTGTTTACGTCCTCCATAAAGCGTGAAATCAGGCATTTTCACGTCATAGTCGCGCAAAGGTACAAAAAAGCGTACTGCACGTGCGAAGTTGTCTTTTTGCTTAACAAACCCATTGCTCTTTTGGAGTTCCTAATTGTTGTCGCCGTCGTCGTTGCTAAAGCTCCCTAACTGCACTTTAAATCCGTTCTTACATGAAAGTAATGTTCCCGGCACTTTGGGCAGGGGCCGTCCAAGTGAACTGAAGCGAAGACCATTCTGTTTTGTTAGGATTCTTATGAGCAGCAGTACTCTGAAAGAGAAAACAAAATCTACAGCTTTAAAATATATAGTCATACTCAAAGACCTTAGAAGCAAATTGTGCAACGATACGCTCACACAGATTCTACCCTTTCAGAGGCTTTCATGTTGCACGGGCGTTTTTTCTGCGCACACTTGAACCCCACCAGGACCATCTGTTTATTGCGCATGCCTATTGTTGGTTTGTACGTGACGTCACGGCGGCCATGTTGGTGGTCAAGAGCAAAAGCATTTCTCTCTCCTGGGAACTAAACTCCATTTTCATGTAATTCTTCGAGGAAAAACTCTTTTGTTTTGACCTTCAACATGGCCGTCTTGTCAGGTGTGTGGCAAAGCAAGAATTCGACGTTAAAAACAGTTAGACCCCGTCCAAAAGAATCCGGATATTTTTAAACCACATATTTATTTTTATACGAATCTACCTTCCGTCCACACGACACCAGTAAATCTGCTCGGCACCAAAACCGTATCTTTTTAAACCACTCTCCAGATTGGTTTAACGCCCCATGCACAAGAATCCGGATAACACTGAAAACATGACTGAATTCAAGTGACTGAAACCTTAGTTACTATAGTCAGTACTATTTGTGAAACGTTTTTCACACTACAAGATTTTCATGTCCTTTCTGTTGGGCGGTGCGCATTGAAAGAAAAGAGAATTAACGTTTCTTACGTCTTGAAGACCCTGCGCGAATGCGGCTAATTTCCTCATTCAATGGATAATTAAATGAAGATTAGTGAAATCACCTTTAAGTCTCCTCCTGCACAAAATAACACTTGAGCTCCTGAAAAATGAAAGAATAAAGCTAAGTCCATTCAGGCATTCTAAATAGTGTGGATGGCGTGAGAAAACGGAGGTTTTTGTTAGAGTAGCCTACGGAAAAGCTCTCGTATGGTTTCTAGCACACTAGCTCAAAGCTAGGAATGGATGTGAATGTGTGAATTGCACGTGAAAAAATACACCTAAATAATAAACGTGATCCTTGCAGCTAACGGCTTTAGCCAAAGCTGTGATCTTAGGAGGTACAAATTAGGGCCTGTTTACATGGAGGTGGGGCACCCCAGGAAGGTGAGGTAACCCGCTTCGGTGGGGTAACCCTCCTGTTCATATAATCTCTCATTTTAATTTGATCATGTTTACATGATAGGTGAGGTGACCCGCCCATGTTACCTCACCTATCTGGGGTCCCCCACCTTCATGTAAACAGGCCCTTAGTGACGAAAAAGCGGTCCGGCCGAGTGATTCAACAACTCCAAGGCGAGTTTACAGTAAGGGACCGTGTTTCAGTACCATATAGGGGCGTAAAATTTGAAGTGTGAAGAGAACTCAGGCGATTTTTTCTGCAGCACTGCAGTAAAAAGGCAAGGCCTTAATTAGGACATTGTATGTGAGGTGCAGTATACAGCTATTTCGAGAGAGGTTGTCGGAAAATCAAAGGCTCCTAGGAGCGAGCTCATGGATGAATTGAATTAGTGTAGAAAAGACAGTTCAATAATCAAAGAAAAACATATAAATCTTTTTGAACGGTTCATTGTGTACGGACTACAGCGTCACTCGAAGTATCCGATTGCATGTGTACCTGAATATTCTAGAAACTTTTTATCAGCGCAGCATTTCTACTTACAAAGCAAAGATCACTTTTAAAAGCAATTATTAACGCTTTTTAGTTGTAAAATAGTTTGCTTTCTCATGTGACTGTCAAACACTTTCTGAACGACAGTGCACTTTCTTGCCAAGTTTTACATACATGAGTTTTATTTAAACCGTGGTTATTTAAAGTGCAATGCTTTCAAATAAATGTTTCCATATGATGAGTACGTAACGGTTAGTATATTAAGTACGAGCTATATTAAATACAGAATACAGGCGTTTATGGCTAAATTGAACTGCTTTAGAACGCGCTTTTGATAAACACGAGCTAAAAATTATTTTAA